GGCTGGTTGGGTAAGGATGCTGTACCTGCTAGGACAGGAGATGGGCCAAGTCAGGATGGGCCGAGAACCCATTGGTGGGTGCAAAATCTGCCACAGGGAGGTGACCTGATAGAGAAGCTTGGGAAACTCCTTTGTCAGGAAGGTAAGAATCAAGGTTGGAATAACCCATACCAGGTCAGGTTACAGTAGCTGCTGGTGTACTTACATATGGCTCAGGTCTGGAGGTGGGCCAGGCTGGGCCGATTCACAGCACCTACTGGCAGATGTGGGAATCAGGATGGGGTGCAGGACAGGCTGGATTGGGCCACAACATCAGCCAGTTCACATTAGGGCCAGGACTGCGGGCTGGCTGGTCGGGGCTAGGCTGTAGCATCTGCCAGCATGAGCTGGCACTGGGAGCAGGCCATAAATGATAAATGCCGTGGTGAGGTGAGCCATGGCAGTCTGGGTCGTAGCTCCCACCAGCACATGTAAGACCCAGGATGAGGGGCAAGCCCAGTAGGGGAGCAGTGGGGGTTCCCCTGCTGGATCACTGCTCCTGCTGGTAAATGTGAGAGCTGAGTCTGGGGGGCAGACCAGGCTGGGCAGGGCTGCAAAACTCATTAGCCTGCATGTGAGCTGGGTTAGGGGGAGAGCCAGGCTGAGCTAATCAACCATATCCACTGATATATGTATGAACCAGAGTAAGTGCAAGCTGGTTGGGCTTTGCCACAGCATTGAATGGAAGGTGCTGGGACTGGGGGCAAGATTTGTCAGGCTAGACCATAGAATCACCTGTAAAGTGCAAGACCTGAGGCTGGGAGTGGACCTAGTAGGGAAATTGTAGGCTCCTCTCTGATGGCTGCAGCTTCCACTGGTGAACATGAGAACCAGGACTGAGGCTGGACTTGGCTAGACAGGCAGTGACACCCACCAGTATGAGTGTGGACCGGATAGTGGGGTCAGTTGGGCTGAGCTAGGCTCCAATGCCCATTGATGTGTATGAGAGCTGAATGGGATGTGATGCAGAGTGGACCAGTCTGCTGCACATATCAGCATGCACAAGAACTTAGGCTGGGGACATGTCTTGTGGAAGCTATTGGGAGTTGTTCTGACTATGCTCAAGTTCCCTCTGGTGTGCATAAGAGCTGAGTCTGTGGTGGGCAGGGTTAGCCTGGGCCACAGCATCCACTGGCTTGCATATGAGTTGGAGGAAGGGACAGAACTGACCAAGTGACACGAGTGTGTGTGTGTAGGCTTACGTGGGTGATGGACTGAGCTGGACCCCACACTAGCTGGCCCACACAGGAGTCAGGTTGGGATCACCTCTAGTGAGATTTCTTTGGGGACCCCTCTCCTCAAATGGATCACTCAACTCAGAACTTCAGCCACGGTGAAAATCACAGGATTGTGGAGTACACGTGTCAGGACTGGGTTTCCACAGTTGTAGAGGCCTGTGCAGTGAATGGCATGCCCAGATGCTCATGGAGAACATGACAACTAGTTCACTGAGACCTGCAGAGGACATCTAGTACTATGGAGGGCAGGACAAATTCGACAGCTCTCCTGGTCAAGCTTTGGCAGTGAGTATCTGGATGAATGGAAACTAAGGTGGAATATGTTGGCAAATGGATCTTGGAAGGATTTCCTCAACATTGGAGCAACAAAATCAACAGCATGTCAGAACTATTGAAACCACTTGAGCAGTTCCCTCAGAATATGTTCCACATCAAGGACTCTGAGATGATATTGGTGGCTGTTCTCCATCCCCGGGTACTGATATGGTTGAACTGTTGGGAGCAGCCCTCTCTCCTTTTCCCCCCATTTTCCCAGATACAGGAAGAACAAAGAAGCTTGGAGACAGTTGTCTCATCCACTTCTAACGTTCCTTGATCCACATGGGAATGCATCCCTCTCAACTATGTAAATAGCATAAAAATAAATTATTATTCAGAAGAAAAGAAGATGAAGAAGATGGAAGGAAAGAAGAAAGGAAGGAAGGAAAGAAGGAAGGAAGGAAGGAAGGAAGGAAGGAAGGAAGGAAGGAAGGAAGGAAGCAAGGAAGCAAGGAAGGAAGGGAGGAAGGAAGACAGTGTGGGGAGCCATGCAGTTGGGTCGGATGGCATGGGTGTGTGACGAGCACCGCCCCTCAGTTAGCAAGGCTGTGAGGAGTTTCTGGCTGCGTGGCAAGGCCTGGCAGAACGTCTCTGGTCACCTCATTGCTGCCTCACCCATTGTATGGAACTCAATCGCCTCTCTGTTTCATAGAATTCTTCTGAGGGTGGTGGTGTTGTTTTTCTGCTAACGTGAAGTGATTCCTGTAACTGGTATGACACCTCAAATTGATCAATCATGTTATGATAAAAACATCTTTAGCGACGTAAGGCTATGACACACAGCTAAAAGTATACAATAGTACAATTGAGCCCACAATGTTTCCAAATAATCTGTTATGTGCTCACTTTTGTCCTGAAGTTTGCCCTAGTATAAGTAATGTTTTCCTTAAGAAATGGCTTGATAATATCTTGGAACAGATGGCAATCATGGAGGTACAAAGAGTTTGTTTACCATGCGCCTTGAACTGTTACAACACATGAAATGACGCATTTTAGTTTCTCACCATAGAAAGCAAAAATGTATGGGGCATCTTCTAAAGGGAAACAAAACAAAACCCCCTCAAAATGGCTTATAATCTCTATCTTATACTGGCACTTATATTTAGGGAAAGAAAACAGTTTATATAGATGAAAGGAAGTTTCTCTGTTTGTAGATTGGCTGAGCTGCCTTGATCTCTTTCACTGCCCTTTAACAAAAGAATAAAAAACAATTGAATCGGGCCCGCCGCGGTGGCGCAGTGGTTAAGGTCCTCGCCTTGCACGCCTGGGATCCCATATGGGTGCCTGTTCTAATCCCGGCAGCCCCACTTCCCATCCAGCTCCCTGCCTGTGGCCTGGGAAAGCAGTCCAGGACAGCCCAAAGCTTTGGGACCCTGCACCCTCTTGGGAGACCTGGAAGAGGCTCCTGGCTTCGGATCAGCATAGCATCGGCCGTTGCGCTCACTTGGGGAGTGAATCATCGGAGGAAAGATCTTCCTCTCTGTCTCTCCTCTCTGTATATCCGCCTTTCCAATAAAAAATAATAATAATAATAAAAATAAATCTTTAAAAAAAACAATTGAATCAGCACTAGGTGAAGGTGACCATAATTAATGCATGATTTGATTATAAGATTTAGCAAGAATCTATGTTATATGCTTTTATAAAATTCTTTCATTTATGATCTTTTAATTCTGTACTCTTAATATTTTAGGCAATATTAGTTTGATTGTGTTTGGTAAAAATTGATATTGAGTATAAGCAAACTATTTGTCACTATGTAATCGCATGTGCTGCCACTGTGGAGTTCCTGGCTTCAGCCAGGTGATTGCAGGTTGCAATGAGTAATGGTTTGTTAAAAATGTTTTCTTTGAAGTAGAAAAATATTTTTTAGGATGGCTTCTTGCATTTTCATAACCATGATGTAATGAAAAATGAAACAATTGGATGTTGTGCAAAAACTTGTGATGATTTATGTATAAATAAAGAAGGCAACTTTTCTGAGTTGTCCATTATGAGCATCAAGCCATAGTGGTCCGTGTCTTATCTCTTCCTATCATCTCGCTGACCCACGCATCCTTTGCAAGCTCTCAGTCAGCCAACAAGGAAGGAAGGAAGAATGGGAGGAAGGAAGGAAGGAAGGAAGAAAAAGTCTTTTAAAATTCATAGAAGACTGGAATTAAAAGAGGATTATTTTCATGACAGCAAATTTACAATCCATGCATAGTTTATTGTAATATACATTTTCATAAACCTCTTGAAGATGTCTCATCTGGTGGATCTCAAAATCTTTTGCACCAAAATAATCATCTTTTCATTCCATTTTCTGTGAGCTTTTTGAAGTGTACTTGTATGTTTTCTTTATTTTTCTCTTTACTGCATTTTCTTATTATTAGCCTCACAGCAAATCCAAGAGGAATCAATTTATCCCTCTCAGAGATAAACACAAGGTGTTTACGCCAGAAGGTCAGACAGTGGTAAATGGTGATGCTGGAATTTGAACCAAGGTTGGATTGGACCCATCCCTGCTTCCCAAGTGCTCATCACTCCATGATGCGAGTAAGGAGTGATGGGCTCAGGGTTCCAGGAGATTCCAAAGGCAGGTCTTTAACCCAGGGTAGGGTGTGGTGATGGCTGTTACTGACCTAAGACACCTTTGACTCATCCTGTCCTTTTGCAGAGGAGATAATGGCCCGATGATATCCAGTGACACAATAGGAAAGGCGTGGGAGTCCTGATGTCTACCAGGCTGCCCCCTGCAGGAAGCAAAGGTCAAGTTGCCAAGAATTACAATGTAATGAATACCACCTTAAAAAAAAAAAAGATTTATCTATTTATTTGAAAGGCAGAAACACACACACACACACACACACACACACACACACACACACACACACACACAAGTCCTTGCATCTGCTGATTCACTATTTAAATAGCCACCGTGAGTGGGGATGAACTAGGCCAAAGCCAAGAGCCTGGAATGTCACCTAGGTCACCAATATAGGTAGTAACAGTCAAAGTACTCTGGCCGTCTTCCACTGTTTTCTCGGGTGCGTTAGCAGAGAACTGATTTAGAAGTGGAACACTGGGACTTGAACCTGTGCTCCTGGGGGATGCTGTTATCACTGGTGGTTTAAGTCACTGTGTCACAACACTGGCCCCTAATGAACGTTGCTCCTGTGACCACTGGCCAACGCTGTCAGAGTGGAGGACCTGGCAGTGTCATGAGTTTAGGGTTGCCTTACGAAAGCAAGAGGTTGCTCTGAATTCTATTTAGCTATTAACCATGGTCAATATTATAAATATTTTTATACATCTAAGTGTGGCAACAAGCTCATGTGTTCTTTGTCTGAAATTCAAGTTTAGGCATATTAAGACATATTCATACTAGAAAGTGAGGTGTGCATTTGATGCTGCGGTTAAGACACTGCTTGGAATATTCATAACCTATATTGCAGTCCTTGGGTTCAAGTCCCAGTGGCAGCTCCTGATTCCAGCTTCATCCTGCTGTGCATCATGATGTAACCACCACGGCTCATGTAGGTCCCTGCCACTACATGGAAACCTGGGTTGAACTGCTGGCTCCCAGCCTTCGTCTGGCCCCATCTGGGTATTGTGGGTCCTTGAAATTCACCCAAATGAACCAGAGGATGAGAGATTTCTCTGTGTGTATATATCTCTATCTTTTAAATTAATCATGTAAACTTTTCCCAATAGTCACACTTTAAAAGAAACAGATGAATTAACTTTTCTTTTCTTTTCCTTTTTTTTTTTTTAATGATGTGTTTGTTTACTTGGAAGTCAGAGAGAGAAGGAGAGACAGGAACAAAGAGATCTTTCATCTGCTGGATCATTCCCCAGATGACCACAACAACCAGGTCCCTAAACGTGTGAAGCCCCAAACACTTGGTTCAGCCTCTGCTGCCTTTTTTCAGGCTGGTAACAGGAAGCTACATCCGAAATTCAACAGCCAGTATGCAAAACTGGTGCCCATATAGAATGCTGGCATCACAAGCAGTAGCTTCATATATTGGACCACAACAACTCCTTAACTTTTTAAATAAATAGTTTTTTATTGAAAGGCAGAGCGTGTAAGCCAGAGAGAAAGAGAGTGAGAGAGATTCCCCAAATGTCTACAACAGCCAGGGCTGGGATGAATCAGTCAGGAGCCTTAACCTCAGTGCAGGTCTTGCACATGCGTTCCAGGGACGGAGGCTCTGGAGCCATCAGATGCTGCCTCCCAGGGAGCAGAGGAGCAGCAAACTGGACACGCAGTGAAGCAGGGACCTGGAACCCTGGGACATCATACAGGACGCAGACTCCGAAGATGAGAGTCCTCGGTTTCTCTCCTTCAACAAACAAATAAAATGTTATATTCTCAACGTCTAGCAAATAGTTTTTAAATTATTGAGCTATTTTATTTTCGCTTGCATATGCTAACACTTCAGCATTGAGTGTATATTTTGCACTGACATTACATCTCAGCATGTGCTAGGTCACGTATAAAGTACCTAATAACCATATGGCAATCGTATGGAACAGCGCAAGCCTAGAGTCTAGACTCCAGGTATCAATTCCCTGTTGATTTCAGGTTGCAAGTATCTTCTATGGTGTACTCGTTTGTTAATTTTGCTCATGGTATCTATTATTTAAAAGCCTATTTTGTAGGTAGGTAAATACATTGCTTTCCCCTCTCTAGTCGATTCTATTTCGGCTCTTGCTTTTAAAATTCACACTCATGCACTATGTCCGAGGCACAACCTTGTTCTAGTAGCTTCACAATTTTGATCTTTCTTGGGTAGGTTTGAAGATTTTTTTTTTTTCATACTGCAAGAAGTAAGGATGTAATTCTCTATGTCTCGTGTAGAGTGAATTAATTCCCCAGCACCACCTACCAGATCTCTCCTCTCTCCATTCATTTGTGAGGATCCTTCTAGCATCTCTCAACTTTCCATAAGTGCATGACCTGCTGCTGAGTTCCACATTCTGATTTGCAGTCATCACAGATCCCTTGCCTGATAAATAGGCTAATTCGGTTACAGAATTCATCTAACTCGCTTAAAGCCACGCAAAGTATATGTGAGAGCCACAATTTCAATCCGAGTAAACCTGGTGCTGTACCCGTCAGGATTGTATTTCATTTTTCGTATGTCAGAAACCAGGCCCTGGTGGCTGGACTGAAGGGATGCATTTTCCCACAGAGCAGTAGTTCCGGGCTAGCCCATCTGGTACAGGTGTGCAGGCTCCCTCCTGTCTCCCTGATGACCTTTGTCCCCAGTGCTTGTTTGTCTTCAAAACGGCAAGGCAACTGGTACACATTGCGGAATCTATGCCCCAGGAAGAAAGGGAAAGAAAATGAGTAAAGCCAAAAGCTTGTTTGCAATCAAGGGAATATGTGGTTCCTCCCGCCTTTTTTTTAAATGAACTTGATTTCAGAATAGTTTTCAATGTATGAAACAAAAATTGTGAATTAGTACAGATTTCCCATCTGCACCCCCCCCCAATCTTCCTCTGTTAACATTTTACAAGGATCTGTTATAAAGAATCACACCCAGCTTCCACACCTCTTTTTCTTTGAATCCAAATCTCCTTCGTCCCACCCTCCCCTCCCGGCGTCTGGCAGTGACTGATCTGTGTTCACACGGAGGTCTGCGGCAGGCTTTCCTTAGCAACCTCTCCATCCTGGTTGTCTGCTGAAGCCAGAGGGTGGGGCCTGGGGGCCGGAGAATACTTGTGGTAAGGATCTTTGGCCTTTTCACCTCTTTGGCTGGAGACACGACAGACCGGAGACCATCCAGAGCCAATGGCTGTAAACTCCCCATCGTCATCTTCCCTCCGAGAAGTTGTTGGCTTCTTTGTAAAGGAATCATCAACTTAGGTGGTCTGCTCATGCAACGTGTGCACTGGAGCCAGATGGTGCACCCACGGGTTCTGTCCCTGAGATCGGAGATCCTGACCCGTCCGAGGCCAAGCATGGGCTGTTTGTCACCTAAAGCCATCTGTGGGCCACCCCCACAGCGTGCTATCTGTACCCTGGCTTTTAAGCCACCAGTCCTGGTTCTAGGGTGTGCCCAGTTCCAGGGAGGTCACTTCCTCTGGACCCCCTGTCAGACCCATTCCCGGCTCTGGCACTAACACCCACCCACAGGTGTAGCCACCTAGCCTGAAGAGGCCTGCAGTGTTGATTCTCTGGGCCCCAGTACGCAGCCCCACTTCTTGCACACACCTGCAGGGAAGTACTTGTTTTTCCAAAAGCTGTATTCAGTAGACTTCCACTGACATCTTGGTCTGCACACAGCCATAGCTGCAAGAGATTCCAGGGAGTTGATGCTGTTTGTAATATTAAGCTGGAAATACTGTTACTCAAAGAAAGTTTGCATTCTGTTCAAAACTAAGATGGGAACAATGGGTTTTGAGCAGCAACAGAGGGGTTGGCTAAACAACTAACGGAGCTTAAAGCATCTGGATGTTTTTGGCTAGGCACCTTCTAATTTTCTTTTTTTTTTAATTTTTATTTTTAAAGATTTATTTATTTTTATTGGATCTGTGGACATACAGAGAGGAGGAGAGACAGAGAGGAAGATCTTCCGTCCGATCATTTACTCCCCAAGTGGCCACAACGGCTGGAGCTGAGCCAATCCAAGGCAATCCGAGGCCAGGAGCTCTTCTGGGTCTCCCATGCAGATGCAGGGGCCCAAAGCTTTGGGCCATCCTCAGCTGCTTTCCCAGGGCACAAGCAGGGAGTTTGATGCGAAGTGGGGCTGCCAGGACACAAACTGGCACCCATGTGGAATCCCAGTGGATACAAGGCAAGGACTGTAGCCACTAGGCTATGGTGCTGGGTACTCAAATGCACATTTCTACACCTACGCTTTTATGTCTGTGTTTATGTCATCTATAAAAGCCACAAGTTCACATCCAGACCTCCAATTCCAACCAATTCCAATTCAGAACCACAGTTTAAGTTTGTCCCCCTTTCCATATTTGGATTTTCTTTCCCCAGGAGCAAAAGATTGGAAGACTGGGTTCTTTTTTGAGACATAGTTCACATATCATAAAACTCATCTGTTTAAAGTACAATTCATTTCTTAGCATATTTATACAACTGTGCAAACATCGCCAGTATCAAATTCCAGAACTTTTTCTTCACTCCAAAAAGAAGCCATGAGTCCACCAGCAGGCACTCCTTGAATCCCTCTCCTTGATCCACAAACTCCTTAGCAACCATGAAATCTACTTCCAGTCTCTATATAATTACAAAGTATACATTACGTATACATTATAAATGTGATCAGACAGTAGGGGACCTTCTTCATCTGCCTTCTTTTATTTGGCACAATGCTTTAATCTTGTAGTATGTATCAATACTTATGTTCATGGCTAAATAATATACCATTGTGTGGAACATATGGCATTTTATTCATCCGTTCATTAATTGATAGATGTTTGAATTGCTCCCACTGCTGCCTCTTATCAATAAACGTACATACATGTACGTACAAGCTTTTATGTGGATGTGTGCGTCCAAGTCTCTTAGTTAATTCCTGGGAACAGAACTGCAGAACAGTATTTTACATTTCTGACACATTATCAACATGCTCTACAAAATGAGTGAGTGTAATTTTACTTACCCAGAGTCCCAGCTGCTTCACCTGTCTCCCCAGTATCTGTTCCTCTACGTCTTTATGATTAGTGCCATCTTAGTGGGGATGAAATACCCTCAGTATGGTTTGCATTTCCCTAATGACTAATTATATTTAGCATCCTTTTTCAAACGATTACTGGTCATTTATGTATCTTCTGACAAATGACTCTTCAAATGCTTTGCTCATTTTAAAGTCACTAAATCATCAACGTGTTCTATACTATAGATACTAAACTCTTACCAGACACAAAATTTGCACATCTTTCTGTACCCATAGGTCATCTTTCCACTTTTGTGACAATTCTTTGAAGAACAAAGTATTTTAATTTTGATGAAGTCACTCTGTTTTTCTTCAGTTATTCATGCTTTCTGTGTCACATCTAAAAAAAAAAAATCAGTTAATCCAAGATCGTGAAGATCTGTATATCTATTTTCATCCAAGAATGTTACAGTTTTAGCTCTGCTGTTTAGGTCTTTGATCCACTTTAACTCTGGCATATGATATGCATCAGTGACAACATGCTGGAGCCAAGCACTAGTTCGTCTTGGTTAGTGGATGCAGAGTCACCTGCCAAGATGGAGATGCTGGTGGAACCACACTGCCCGAAGCCCTGCCTGACGTCCTCCGGCCAGCTTGTCCAGCGGACTGGCCTTTCTTGAGCTGCCTCTTCAGGAGATGGTTGCTGTGCTATCCTCCTTGTTGACTGAGTGCAGACTAGTGTTCTTGAAACTGCCATGGTGATAACCTTTGCCCCAGTCAACATCACACCTGAAGTTGCATCTGCTGAAATGCACCATGAGGTTGAGTGAAGCAGATTTTCTTTCTTTATACCGAATGTTGACAGTTCTTCATGCAGGGATATCAGAGTTCTGATCTCTTGTGTGTCCATGACTTGTGACCACAGAGACTGAGTGAGTGGCATGGCCATGGAAGAGTTTAGAAAACGTAAGGATTTTTTTTTTTTTTGAAAGAAGCAGAGGCAGATCCAAGCAGCTGGAACAGTTTTTTTTTTTTTAAGGTTTATTTACTATATTTTTATTGGAAAGGCAGATCAGATTTATGGAGAGAAGGAAATAGAGAGAAAGATCCTTCATCTATTGGTTTACTCCCCAAATGGCCACAAAGGCCAGAGTTAAGCTGATTCTAAGAAGCCAGGAGCCAGGGGCTTCTTCACATTAGTGCAGGGTTCCAAGGCTTTGGGCCATCCTCTGCTGCTTTGCCAAGCCATAAGCACAGAACTGGATGAGAAGTGGAGCAGGTAGAACACCAATCGACACCCATATAGGATCCTGGCACTTGCAACAGGAGGATTAGCTAATTGGAGTTCTTAAGGAGGAAACAGTTAAGGACTGCTTGTTTAGGGATCTGTATAATAAGACGGTGAAAGGGGCTATTCTTGTGATTGTTCCGGGAGAGGCAGTAAAACCAGAATCTCTACTCAGGTTCTCTGGGTTTCCACAGATGGCGGGGTGGGGCCCCTGCTTCCATTCTATCTAACCTGTCTCTCCTTTCTCTATCATCATGGGCTTAAATACCAAGGGTGCGTGTGTCAAAGATATTTGTCATGGCAGCATTGCAGATGACAGAAAAACAGCCCCCCAATGGAAGCAGCTGACTTTCCTGTTTATCCTGAACCCTCCAGGCCAATTTGGTGCTGGCTATGCCCAGTGCTGCATGGTCACAGTGCTGTAAGATTGCTAAAGGAAAAGACTGATCATTCTGCAAAGAATCTGGAAGGTGGCCCTAAAATCTTGAAATCTGGTGGTATTGCCATTGTTATTACAGCTCCTGGCAAGTCCGTGAGTGTTGAGGGCTTCTCTGCCCATCCTCCTGCAGCTTGGTTTGCTGTCTGTGATAGGAGAAAGTCAGTCCCTGTGGGTGTGATCAATGCCACGGGCCTAGCAAGGTCACCAGGTCTTCCCAGAAGGCTTAGAAGGCTGAATGAATGTTATGCCTCATACTTGTCACCCTAGTCTTAATCTGGGGTAGGACAGTCTCAGCTGGCCTCTTAATAGTTGAGAAAGACTAGTCAATGATGCAATGCCTTATAGAGCCTTCAAAAGAAAGGAGAATGTTTGGGGAACCTTTTTGTGTGTGTGGTCATATGCAACGTGGTTTTCAGTTTAGCTTTTCAAAATCGATGCTTTTTAATGGAAACTTGACCAAAAATCTACCACAAAACATTGAGACTCATTATAGCACATTTAGGGACAAAAAAAAAATTGTATCAACAACACTATGTAGTTTTCATTCTATGCAGTTTGTACTTCCGTTAAATTTATTCTTAGTTATTTCATTCCAGCATATGAAAATTTTTAGAATTTCATTTTCTAGAGTGTTTAAAACTTGCTTTTTGATTATTATTACATAGCTGATTAGGGTGCAGAGGGTCAAGGGTTACAGGAAAGTGGGTAAGATCATTGTTTCCACATTCCCTTTTTTCCTTCCTGTATCTGGGGGAAAGGGCAGATAAAGGGAGAAGCCCCACCCAGCTGCCCAACCATCCCAGCGTCCCAATGTAGGGCATGCTCCGAGGGCACTGCTCAAGCGGTTTTGATAGTTCAACAAGTCTAAATTGCTGCCAATCTCACTATTCCAAGCACAATGAAATCTCTCCAGAATCCACTGGCTGACACAGTTCACCTTAGAGTCTATGTTTGTGCAGAACTTCACTGCCAGCACATGATCAGCTTGTCCTGTCCTCTGTTGTTGCACCAAGTGTCCTCTGCAGATTCCAATGCACTGCCACATCCTTCATGTGCACCTGGATATGCTGCCCACTGCTCCATTTCAGTCACTGAGGAAGCCCAGCTCTGACACATGCACTCCACGGTTAGACTATGGAACCTGCACTTCTCTTCATGGTTGGGGTTCTGAGTCCAGCAGTTCAGTTGGGGGGATCCCCAAAGAAACTTCATCTGAGGTGATCCCAGACCTGATTCTTGTGTGTGCTTGCCAATACAGGATCTGGCTCCATCAGTCACCCCAATCAGCTTATGCATATGCTGGTGATTGCAACTGCTGGATCAGTTCTGTTTCCAACCCTGTCTTCTACACGAACCAATGGGGGTTGTAGTCCAGCCTGTTTCTGCCTACCACACACTCAGCCCTCACATAAACCAGTGCGAGCTGCAGCCTAGTTGGAGTGACCCACAATAACCCCCACCATTCTGGCCCCCTGCCCTGGTTCCTGTGCTTGCCCACTATGTACAGCAGACTTGGTCCAGTCTGTCCCACATCCCATTCTGCTCTCATACATGTCAATGGGCATTAAAGCCTAGTTCAACCCAGTCAGCCCCACTATCCAGGCCACATACCTGCTGGTGGGTGCCACTCTGTCTAGCCATGCCTGTCCCAGTCCTGGTTCTCGTGCTCACCAATGGGAGTGGCAACCCAAGAGGGAGGTGCCCACTATTTCCCTACTGGGCCCACTCCCATTTCTGGGTCATGCACTCTCCAGGTGGTTCTGCAGTTTAACTTGACAGAATTAGATCCCAGTGTCAGCATCTGCCCAGCTGATGCTGTGGCAAAACCCAACCAACCCACACCCACTCTGACTTATGCTTGCACCAATAGGAACAGTCAACCTAGGCTGGCTTTCCCCTGATCTAGCTCACATGAGGCCAACAGGTGTTGTAGCCCTGCCCAATCTGGTCTGCCCCCATCCCAACACATGCTCTCCAGTGGGAGTGGTAGTCCAGCAGGGAAGCCCCATGCAGCCCCCCCACAGGCTTTGCCCCCTCCCCCCTGGTTCTCACGTGTGCTGGTTGGGTGTTGCAGTCCAGTCTGGTGTGGCCCACCTCACCTTGGCATTTGCCAGTGGGTACCATATCTTAGCCTGGCTCGGTCCACCCCCAGTTCCAACTCACACTGGTGGGGGTTACAGCCTAGCCCAACCCAGCAGGCACCCAGTCCCAGCCTTAATGTATACAGGCATGGGTTGTGACCAAACTCAGCCTGACCCACATGCTATTCTGGTACTCAGATTCGTCAGCTGAACTGGCCCCAGCTGGCTTGTCCCAAACCTGTGCCAAATGTATGCCGCTGGGTACTGATCCCTGGCCTGGTCTGGTCTGCTCCCTATCATGGTTCTTGTGCTCACCTGCAGGGACTGTGTCCCAATAGAGGAGTTTCCCAGGCTCCTCCAATCAGAAGCTCTATCAATGCCAGATCTCACACACACCAGTGGTTTCATGGGCCAGCCCTACTTAGTCCACTTCCTGTCCTAGCAGGAGCAGTGTCCTTTCCTGACTAGCCTTCAACCCATTCCGGTTCTTACTGTTGGATGTTTCAGCCCAGATACAGCTTACACATGGCTCAGTAGGGGTAGAGATCTAACCTAGTTCGTCCTATACCTACCCTGGTCCTCACGAGCACCAGTTGTTGCTGAAGTCTAGCCCAGTCTGGTGCTCCCAGTCCCAGTTCACACTTGTACCGAGGGATACTGCAGCCATGTCCAGACCAGACTGCAGCTCTGACTCTGGCCTGTGCACTCACCAGTGGGAACCACAACCCAGCCAGGGTGTCCCTTTAGCTCCCCAACCAGGCCTGTTCCCAGACATAGTTTCCACGAGTGCCAATGGTTGCTCCGACCCAGCTTGGCATAGTCCTTCACCTGTCTTGGCCTTTGCCTTAGATGCTGTCGCCGGCCTGATCTGGCCTGCCCCTAGTCCTGACTCTAGCTGGTGGGTGCTGGAACCTAGCACTGCTCAGTCTGCTCCCATCCCTGGCTCATGCAAACCAGTAGGTGTGGCAGCCTAGCCCAGCATGACCTGTGCTCTAGCCTTTGTTTTTGCCTTTGTCAGTCAGCTATGGTTTGCTCTGCCCTGCCCAGTCTGCTCTCTTCCAAAACCAACCCACACATTAGCCAACTGTTGCAACTACTTTACCCAACTTGCCTGACCCCTAGGCCTGGACCATGTGATTATCAGTGGGAGTTAATGACCCACTAGGGGCGTTTCCCACATTCCCACTCCCAGACCCAGATCTCATACATGCCAGCAGGTGGTAAGTCCTAACCTGGTATAGCCTGCCCCTCCATCTTGGCCTTATATGAGCTGGTAAATGCTGCAACCTGGCCTGCCCCACACCCTGCTTTAGGATGCACATGTGGGTGCTGCAGTCTGAATCTGCCCAGATTGTTCTTGGTCCCTGCACCTGTGAATGATGGCAGGTTCCATGGTCACACCTAGCTCAGCCCATCCCCACCTCAACTCTTGAGCTAATCAGCAAAATTTGTATTTCCACAGGGTTGGGCCCACATATTCCCCACAAAATCTACCCCTGGATTTGGTTCTCTCGCATCCTGGTTAGTGTCATGGCTCTGCCTAATGTGACCCATCCCTTGTTATGACATTCAGTCAGGTACTAGAATCTAGCCCTGCTAGACAGGTCCCCAGCCCTAGCTTTCACATGAACTGGCATGTGGTGGCCAGCAATGTTCCATGATAACAAGCCCTCTTCAGGACCCCCATGTAGGCAGGTGTATCAGTCTGACACATACAGATCATCTGGTCTCTCCCCTCCACACCACTGGGTCTCTGTCCCCTCACTTATATGCAAGTACAATGACCCTGCCATTGGGAAACCCTTAGGATTTATTCCTCACCTACACACACGGTGGCCTTACCCATGGATGACCTCAGGCATTAATTTCACACCCCCCAAGACCCTAGAACTTGCCACCAGTAGTATACAGGGCAGAACAGGGTGCCAGTTGGCACCTTGGCCACCCAAAAGCCCAGGACTCGCTCATTATGTGGCAGCGGTGGCTGTAGCTAGGGTCCCAAGCATTGAGTCCGACCTGGTTCAGGTATCTCCAGCAGCTGCCAGGCTGCTGGAAGCCACACCACCCAAGCCCTGAAAAAGAGCAGAATTGATTATGTATTGCCCTTACATCCTGAAAACTGCTGAATCTATTTACTAGATCTAACAGTATGTGGAGGTACTTCAAGAAGTTTATAAAAATAAGAATTGAAAGGCAGTTATTAAAAAGCAATGCATGGACATTAAAAAAAAAAACAGCCTGTCTGCACCAAATTAACTTACTTTCATTCGAATTTCCTTGAACTTTGTGAAGGACTCTCATATTTGTGGGGTATCCACAGGTGGATGTTTTAGGAGTGCCTCTATAAATGATTATATCATCTGTGGCTAGAAATAGCTTTACTTTGTCCTTTAAAATACAGATACTTCCTCTTTCTTTCCTTACTGAGGGTTTTGGTTGGATAGCTTTTTATTGAAGATTTCTGCATCTATAAGAAACATTGGACTAAAGATATATTCCCATTTTTTTCTTAGACACCTTTGATTTTAGTATTAGTATAATAGTGGCCTTGAAATACAGTTGGGAAGCACTTTCTCCCCTTTTATTTCATCTTTTTATTTTTTGTAGAGTTTGTGGAAGACCGATGTTAGTTGCTCTTTAATGGTTTTCTTTTCAGCTGTCTCAAAGTATCCCCTAATTCCCCCCGTGATTCTTTTTTGACCCATGGTTATTAAAGAATTTGCTAATTACCATGTGTTTGGAGATTTCTGAAACTTCCCTTTATTATTGATTTTTAATTTTATTACGTGTGGTCAGAGAACATAACTTATATGAGTTTAATACCTTTACATTTATTGAGACCTGTTTTATGGCCCGACATATGGTCTGTTCTTGAAATGTTCTTTATGTCCTTGGGAAGAATTTATATTCTGCCGTTGTTGGGTGGAGGCTTCCATGGATTCTGTTTGGTTTAATTGCTTTTTTAGAGTTGTGCAAGTCTTCTATTTCCTTGTTGATTTTCTCTTCTATTATTCCATCCACTGTTGAAAGTCGGGTGTTGAAGTTTTGAAACTTTGGCTAAATAGTCTTTCTCATTCCAGTTCTGATAGCTGCTGCTTCAAGCATCTGGGAACTCTGTTGTTACATACATGCTTTTAATGAATGTATCTTCTTAATGAATCAACTCTTTCATAATTATCTTCCCTGGTAACAATTGTTGTCGTAAGGTCTACTGGGCATGATACTTGCACAGCCACTCCAACTCTCTCTTTCAGTCACAATTTCATGGTATCTTTTTCTATTGATTTACTTTAAATCATTGGCATCCTTGAATTGAAATCGCTCCTCATCTATGCAACACATAGTTGGAACATTTTTAGTCCGATCTTCTAACCTCTGCTTTTTAATTACAATATTTAATCAAATTACATTTCAGGTAGTTCCTGATAATGCATGATTTACACCCATCATTTGCCATGTGTCCTCTGTATGTTACAGTTTTTGTTCTTTTCTTCCATTACAACCTTCTTTTGTGTTAAGTGGATATGTTTTTGGTGCCATTTTAATTATTTTGTCAATTCTTCCAGCATTTTAGATGAATGGTACGTTACATTGTTTTCCGGTCACCATGATTTTTACTAACAGGCCAGTGGTTAACCTTGATTCCTTGTACATGAAGAGTAATTTTCCTCTTGCTGATTTCAAGACTCTATCTTTGGCTTAGGGAATGTTATTGTAATGTCTCTATATGCACAATTCCCTCAATCTAGCCTTCCCATAGTTCACTGTGGCCCTTGGACCCATACATTCTAGTAAACTAAATGTGGGAAGTTTCCAGTCACTCTTTCTTCAAATACTTTTTCTTTCTCTTTCTTTTTCTAGAACTCCATTATACACGTATTCACATTCCTTCAAGTCTGCAAAGTGTTTGTTCCAGAACCCTCCCCACTCCCACCCCCACACAGACAACAAAACCAAAAGATAATCAAGTTCCTTATGTCAAATGTCATGCTGTAATAGTCAATAAAAAGGAAATATCATGTATGCATATAACCTGCACACAAAATGTATATTGTATATTTTAAATGATCTCTAGATTACTTGTAAATATTTTATACAATGCTAATGCTATGTGAATTCTTGTATTATTTCAAAATTAGTGACCAAACAAAATAGACTCTACATGTGTAGTGAAGAAACAACCATTATAGGACTGACCTGAATAGTACATAAATGAGATGCAAGGCAAATAATGCCAAATAACTAGTGTTAGAGATTGAAGATCTGTGTAGCAGCAAAGGCTGTAACAATACATGTCTATACAACATTTGATTCATGTGTATTCTGCATAGCATAACTTTTGAAAAGATTTGTTTGGAAGGCATAATTATAGAAA